TATCTCCACTTTTTGGTCATATCCAATCATAATTCCTCTTATATATATATACTGTAGACCCTCAAAGCAGTACCTGACATCCTATACACCATTCCTATCTTTAGCTCTCATTTCCTGGCTATTTTTAGAACAGTGAAATACCCAGAGCTACATTTGAAAAATCACAATGACATATCCAGGGTTACATTTGAAAAATCACAATAAAATATCCAAAGATAGATTTGAAAAATCACAATGAAATATCCAGGAATACATTTGAAAAATAACAATGAAATATCAAGGGATACATTTAAAAAACTGCAATGAAATGCCCAAGGATAGATTTGAAAAATAGCAATGAAATGCCCAGGGATACATTTGAAAAATAACAGTGAAATATCAAGGGATACATTTAGAAAATCACAATAAAATGCCCAGGGATACATTTGAAAAATCGCAATGAAATATTCTAAGGTATCAATGAAAGGTACAAGGTATCTATTGAAAAACCACCATTGAGATGGCTTGACAGACTTATGAAATGCCCATAGAGAATTTCTCATATTTTATCAGAAATCCCAGGCAATTTGATGATTGAAAGGCTTAGGCTCATGTATTGAAATGCCTTTCATAAAAATCTCAGTGTTATAGATTGTCGTCTGTAGGCTTAAGTCTAGGTTATATGATAAAAGTGGTAGCCACCAGTCACCCAGGATAAGCGGCAAATACGGCCCCCCAAGCCGCTAGTCTTCGGTTAGAGTTTTCGTATACTCGTGCCCATATTAAGGTGGCATGATCCGTTATCAGAGTGATGCTTTCCCCTTCTATGAATGGTTGGAATTTAACAAGGGCTTCCTTAGCAGTAAGCACTTCACGTTCTGTAGCGCTATAATTGTGTTCCACCAATTTGAACGTGCAGCTCCAATATGCTATTACACATTCTACATGTATGATGGTTTCATCCAACATGTTTCCCCATATGTCTGGCTGCTCAACTTCACGTTGATCTTCATAAAGTTTGGCCATGAGACTGGGTACCTCCTTGCATGCTTCCCAAGCAGCTTCTAGCTTGCTAAAGCAGGGAGTACCCTTGAGGTCCTTAACTTGGATAGCTTGTACTTGTTGTAAGCTCGCTCCTAGCACAATGTCAGATGCATCTGTGTATAACCTGTAAGGCTGATTTGCAATGGGGTGTTCTAGCATGGGGGCGTTAGCTAGGGCTTCCTTCACTTGTTGGTAAGCGACTTCCTGTTTGGCGTGCCACTGCCATTTAGCTCCTTTCTTTAGGAGATTAAACAGAGGGGCAGCGATCATAGAATAGAATGGTATATAAGTTGAAAAATATACGACCATCCCTACTGAGAACTTCTGTAGGTCCAACACAGAAGTGGGACAAGCAAGTTCCATAATAGCTTGTACCTTCTCCTTATGAGTGGAAAGTCCAAGCCTAGAAACCTTCTGCCCCAATAATAAGATTGACGAATACCCCACATAGCATTTAGCTGGGGATAAGGTTATTCCAGCAGCAGCAATGGCCCCTAGAACTCAATCAAGATGTTCCAAATGTTCCTCCCAATTTTTCGAATAAACCATAATATTGTCGATATAGACCAGTGCAAATAGCCACAGGAATGGAGCCAGCACCTCCTGCATAAGTCTTTGGAAGATCGACAGTTCATTTCTGAGGCCAAACAGCATTCTTTTGAACTGCCACAATCCTAAGTGACAATGGAATGCAGTTTTTTCCTTAGCATCTTCAGCCATTTCTACTTGAGTAAAACCGGCTAGTCTTAGCATTAAGTTTCCGATAATCTATGACCAGTCTGGGTTTGCCATTTCGATAGACTACTACAGTGGGGAATCCCCAAGGGCTGACCAAAGGTTTGATGACTCCAGCTTCGAACCAAGCTTTGAGTTGTTGGTAATGTGGATGGCAAAACCTCTGAAAGCATTTGCCACTTGCCGGCTTGGCGAGTCGAGCATGCGAGAGCTTGGCAAATGCTGGCAAATGAAAAAATTTGAATTTCTGTCGTTTTGCATCAAAGTAGTATCCTATTATTACCCTTGATTTTTTTTCTCAGCAATTACACTCATTTTTTCATCACTGATTCACTGCTGAGGCCTGCTTTGGGTCTGTGTTAAGTATTGTCAAGATCAAAATTGGATGGGATCAATGGATCAGAGCATTCAAATCAGGAATAAGGATTGGTTTTCGAAGGGAATTTGGGGATTGTTTGGGGAATTTGGCCTGCAGTCAGAATTTCCCAACATCGACAACCATAAGGCCCCCAGAAGCTCATGCTATTTCTTGTCCACAAAAAGCAGTCAAAATGGGCCTCAAATCTGCTATGTTTGGGCCTCAAATCTGCTATTTTGGACAAGGGTCTATGTACACATGACTTGCCCAAAATGGAAGCTCTCTGTGAATTTTACAACACAAAAGTTTTCGGCTCAGAAACAGATACATATGCACTACTGATGTCACCAACGAAATTCACTCCTTCTCTTCATCGCTGACAGTAAAATCTCCACCTTTGATATGAATGCTATTCCGGAAATGTTTCTGCCCAGTTGTGCCCTCAAATCCACTATCCGTGGACAAGCCTGGGGCCAAAATTGCCTCAAATCCACTATTCTGGGACAAAGATTGGCCCATTTGTTGGCTATTTTTGGACAAGAAATGGCTTGAGCTTCCCAGGGCCACAACCATTTTATGTGCCCATAAATGTCTGTTATTCTCTGAAATTTTGACAAACTTCACCAGGTCTCACCACCCTGTTTTTATTTTTTTGTTTCGCCAGCTGGTGAAACTGGTGTGGCGAGCTGGCGAGCAGTTGCCAACAACACTAGTTGTTGGTCAATAACTTCTCTTTTTGCTGGGGAAGCTCCATACATAGGTTCTGAAATAGGATGCATATTTGGTTGCAGCGGGATTTGAACTCACGCTTTAATATGTCCTAATCAACTGTCTACTCCAAAGGCTGCAGCATTCCTGCGCAATACTTCAGTCAGTCAGTCATGATATTCTTCTGGTATATCGGGACCAAGGTTGACTAATTTATCTATGTCTCCGCTAACCAGGTCTTCGGGTACTGCAGTAGTCTTAGGTCCCCACGATTCGTTTTCTTCAAATTGATTGTCATGTCCAGGCAAATTGGCCATAGGGCTAGTAGCTGTAGCTAGATCTTGAGCCTTTAAAGTTCCAATGATTGTAGTCTTGAGAGCCTCAGCAGATGCAATCTAATATATAAAGAGAGGACGGTTGACAGTTATTACGTAATAGATCATGTAAGCAACCTCTTTCTCTTTTACTGAGCCGCGTCAGCGGAGTTTCCCAGGAATGTCACACGGTGTGATCACAACCACAGCACATTGTGTTGGTAGCTCCCAACCACATTCTGTTATAGTAAAATTTTGTATAGTACTGCATTAATTTTTTGTGAGTGTTTTTGTGGTCACACCTCTCTGAGCAGCCTCAATTTCGCTTTTTCTGTCACAGGGGTGAAACAGTGATTTGTCCAATTAGCAAATCCTGGGCATATGTTCATTGGAGGCATTATTGCTCAATAATTTACTTCATGTTTGTCAGGTGGGTAAAGTCAAAATATGCCCAACATTGAACATCAACTGCAATTAGGATGTGCACAAGGGACTACATGAGAACTGTTGGTAAAATGTGCATCAAATTTTCCCCAGCAGCTCATTCAATATTTGATTTTGATGTGCCCAGCCATTATTAAATGTATTCAGAATATGCCCAATATTTCAAGACACATTTTAAGTAAATCCACTAGCTCCATTTAGATTGTTACTAATGGGCATATATTACATGGGACTACAATTCACAGTGTCTTTTTATCTCAGCTTTATTTCTGAATATATTTTAAATTTATCCTTCAAACAAATGTAAAGAAAATCATTGAGCAATAATGCCTCTGATCAACATATGCCCAGTAATTTACTCATTGGACAAATCACTGTTTCTCCCCTGTGTGTACTATTTTTTACCCCCCACTCCATTGTTGGTGTATATTTCTCCTACTTTGAGATCTATGCTGATTAAATTTCAGGTGGATTTTAGTTGCTTAATAGATTTTCATCATTGACCTACTGGGTGCATGATATGGTACTGTGTAAGCCATAGCCAAGGGTTGAAAGACCAAAAAATATAGCCCAGCCTCAATTTTGCTTTTTCTGTACTATTTTTCATCCTCCACTCCCCTCTACCCACTGTCATGGTATATTTTTCTTACTTTTGAGATCTGTGCAGATTAAATTTCAGGTGGATTTTAGTTGCTCAACAGATTTTCATGAGTGGCCTACTGAATTGTAATTTATGGTGCATGGTATGGTACTGTGTAAGCCATAGCCAAGAGTTGAAAAATCAAAAAATATGGCCAGCTTTGTACTGCTGACTGCAGTTACAGTACAAAATGTAGGACTATATAGGTGTGGATCTAAATGTAACTTTGATGATTTGGATTAGAATAAAATTTGAATGAGGGCAGTTTAACTTTGATGATTAAGATAAAATGTGTGTGTCAGAACTGGGATTGAACATATCAACTGGGAGGTCCAGGGGGCTTGCCCTGACATGTGTATCTTTGAAAATTTAAATAAAGTGTAAATACCAAAACAGGAATTAGTGTAACTTTGAGAAACATGTACACCACAGGTATCAGATTGTTATGAGATAGCCCAAGGGTCTTCCCTTTGGCAAGCTGGCCAAGTGCAGTGAGTGCCAAACCATGGGTGTAGGTCAGAGCATAATTTAAAAAATTTAAATTTAATAAGATGTAAGTACCAAAACAGAGATTGAAAATGTGCACAGGAACTGGAATAAACATATGTACTGGGGGGACAGCTTGCCTCTGGCAGGCATGGCTGAGCAAAGCAAGTGCTGTGTCCAGCTCTAAGCCTAACATTGATGATTCAGATGACAGGTATACACCAGATCTGGGATAAAGAATGTGTATCAGAATGGAGATTGAATACCAGAAGTGGGATTAAACATATGCACTGGAACTGGGATAAAAGAGGTGTACTAAAACCGGAATTAAACATGTGTACTGGGGGTCCACATGAAAGTGTAACTTTGAGCAACATGTACACCACAACTGTTAAATTTGAATCAGATAGTCCAAGGGCTTGCCTCTGGCGAGCTGACCAAGCACAATGAGTACCACTGCAGGTTAAAGTATATCTTTGAAAATTCAAATGAAGTGAAATAAAGTGAAACAGGGATTAGAGATGTGTACCAGAACTGGAAACAAACACATGTTCTGGGGGGATGGCTTGCCTCTGGCAAGGCATGACTGGGCAAAGTGAGTGCTATACCACAAGTCCAGATTTAAGTCTAACTATGTGTACTGAAAGTGGGATCAAATATGTGTACCAGAAGTGAGATTAAACATGAACTGGGATAAAAAATGTGTACCAAAACTGGGATTAAACATGTGTACTGGGGGGAGGAGGAGCCACGAGCTGAAGGTGAGTGGCAATGAAGACTGGGGTTGGAAGAGCTGCTTGGCAAAGCAAAGAACAACAGGTGCTGTTGGGTAACAGCACATCCCTGTTTTGCTTTTATAGGCTCTTCAGGTTCTTTGCATAGCATTCAAACATGTATAGCCATAAGGCGGTGTGCATGGTGTTGGACAGCCTTATTGTTCACCTTGCATCATTCTGACTCAACATGAGCTGGGATAAAAAATGTGTACAAAAACTGGGATTAAACATGTGTACTGGGGGGTCCAGGGGGCGTGCCCCCGGCAAGCTGTGACCAGCACCGGAGGCACGGCCGAGTGTTAGCAAGTGCCGCGCCATAGGTGCAGGTCTAAAGCTTGTCATTTTAATTAGTTGTTCTTCGTCCTTGGGCTTATCTAACATCGTCTCAGGGTCATGTAGGTAACCTACAACCTCTCCAGCTCTAACGTAGCATGGGTGTGGACTGGGATTAGCTATAGGGAGAAAGGGACACGAGGCATTAATCCATGTGGTCGGAGCAGCCATAATGTTCTGATCATCGGTTCCAATGATAACCTTCTTGACTATCCAATCTTTGAAGGCTGCTCAGATCTCAAATCCTAAGTCCACATTTTGGGAAGAGGTGGCTGGAATCATGTGCCCAGACTGCCCTACAGCTACTTCACAATGCCCTGAAGGATATCTCGTAACGCTGAGTTCGTAGGTAGTTTGGAAGTCTTCTCCCAGTAGTATAGGTACATTCATGTTTTGTATGACATAAGCTTCTAGTTCAAAACTGACTATGGACTCATCTCAAGCCAAGACATATAGTTCAGTATTAATGTATCCTAGAACCTTTGCTCCTCCAGTGAGATGGTATAGCTTCATTCTCATTCCTTCACACAGGCGAGGAGAATCGGACATTGATTTCCAGAATTCTTCCGATATCAGAGTGATATCAGCTCCAGAATCCAGCCGAGCTCGAATGGAATCAGACTTGAGGTTACCAATTTTCGCGCACATGTGTAGAGCTTTCGTCCCTGATGATCCCATTCCTTCAGGTAAAGATTGGCCTTTGACCATGGGAAATACACAACCGGGCTCGTAGATAGGTTCAACTTTCTTCACCTTCATGAATCTTATGATTTCATTGACTGGTACGACCTCTTTGTTCTTCCCCTTATTGTAATCCTTAGACTTTTGAGCATTACGATGTGCAGAATACACCTTATGAAAGGTAGCTTCCACACATGGTTCAACTTTGTCTATTTCGTCGCACGTTACAGCAGCAATTTTTACATGCTTTTCAGCAGCAAATGAATTTCTTAGTTGTCCCTGGGATGAATGTATCTCGGTAGCAAAGGACTTAAACAGATTTTCACTCTTGTAAGCAGAAAGGGTGATCTTAGATTCAGCCAACATAACTAAGTACTCTCTATCTGCTTCTTCCTCCTCAGCTGGATCCCAGTCCACATAAATCTTATGTGCATTCCATAGAGTGTTCCATTTACCAAAGTGGGGACAGTCCCTATGGAAATGCTTGGGACTAGTACAGATGTAACAGTCTCCATTGGGATCTCACGGACTAATCCTGATATCATCCCTCAAAGGTTATACCATTAACCGTTTTCCAGTGAGGAAACTTCATTTTGGCAGTCGCGGGCTTGGGCTTTCGCCCCCCAGAGCAAGGTGGAGGCTTACAACTGTTGTTTGAGGCATAGTTAACGTCCCATTCCTCTTCCTCATCTGATGAATAAGACTCAAGCTGCATTCCTTGATTGTTCAAGTCCACCTCTGCAGCGTGTGCTACACGTGAACGGTGATTTCTATAGTAGAGCGCTGGCTTCTTGTTTCTTTCAGCCTGCTGCCAAGAGGTTATTAAACTGTTCCTCATCTGCTTAGCTATGGACTGGACAGAGAGGATCGAGGGACAAATGGTTTCACTAAGATAATGGGTCCATTCAACAGGTTGTCATCATAAAATGCAAGCAATGGCAGTGGGTCTGTCCTCTTCCTTGGGATGGAGGAAATGGTGGTGTCGTATACGACATTGGATGTACTCCAATGGACTCTCTTGTTCATGACCTTTATTGCAGAAGGTCATCTCATCGAACTCGAATGTTCGATCTCGCACCCATTCTTCATCCAAAAAGTGGGCTTGAATTCCTATCATTATGTTGTCCCAGTTGCTTGAGAAGTAGGTCCTGTCGGGAGTGGGTAGAGTTTCCCACCAACTTAGGGTGCAAGAGGTCCACTTGAAAGGGGCTAGCTGAGCTATGCCTTCCTTCATCTTGGAGCTCAGGGCTGCCAATAGTGCTTGGAAGTCCAGCCCCAAGACTGCAAAAAGACCACAACTGGACCAGACCAAGACTGCAAAAGACCAGACCTGCAGTCTTGGTCTTTCATATTTGAGATCACAAGACTGCGAAAAAACCGGTTTACATGGACCGGTCCTGTCAGTTAAGACCGGTCTTTTGTACCTACATAAAAACCCTTCAAAATGCACCTAAGATCATATTTTTAGGATAGAAACTGACAAAGATACATAAAAAACTGTAAAATATTTCGTGAAAATAGCAGGTGTACCTTAGTATTTTTGTATATACATCAATTCTCAACGTAATTTAATGTTCTTGCACTCATTTAGAAGCCACGAAGAATGAAAACGTCGACTTTATGTCTCGATGTCCGCGAAACGGGGGTACGCTGAATCTGCAAAGGTAAGTCAGTTTCCATGAATGTTTAAGGAAAGACAACTTACTCCGTGATGAGTAAGCTTGAGGCACGAGAGCATGCTCATCTTAGGATAAGATAACGTCTGCGTCAGAACCAGACATCTCACCCAGATGTAAATACTTATCTATGTCTATGTGTTGGGAGTGCTTCTCCCCTTCACTTCAGATCTGGTTCTGACACTAAGAAATTGCTCGTCGGTCACTCGAAATTTTTTTGACTCTCTTCGCTCCTCATTGACATTCCTCGCACCTTTCTGTGATGACCGACACACTCGCCAGTACCCCAGCGCAGCCTCCCGCTGCTGCTTCTCAGAACACCCAGAACCCACTAAACCCGCAGCCTCGCGTCCCGCGAACTCACACTTCTCCAGCAATCATTCAATTGTTGAAAAATCTCTCTCTCCCTAATATTTTGCAAAAGAATAAGGGGATTGATGCCGAAAATGATGCCAGATCTGCCAAGACCCTGAACAACGCTCTGGACCCGGTCGCTCATCCTCAACCGGGATCAGAAGTTGCTTCCTTGATCACCATCGATCCCGAGGATCTTGCCCGATTGAGGGTCCCTTCGAAATTTATGGCATATTTAGCTGAAAACCTGGTCTTGAACTGGTTGTAACCAGTTTGGACCAAGACCGGTCCAAAGACCGAAAAAGACTGCAGTCTTGGTCTTTTCTGGTCCTGGTCCAGTCTTTTGAGGTTTTAAGAATTGTGTGGACCAGTCTAGGTCTCGGTCTTTTCATTTTGGGTCAAAAAACCAGACTGGACTGGACTTTCAAGCACTAGCTGCCAAGAAGCCCATACCGCTCAAATAATCTATGGTGGTCTCCCCTGCACCATCCCACTCAGGTAAAACATTGGCATTCAGTTTACGATTGATTTGCCATTCTTCAGGAGTTCGCCACCATGGGGGGTAGTCCGAGTTTTGTGGGGCAGGATTATTATTGTTCCAATTCCCACCTCCACTGCTGCCTCCCCTGCCTCCAGGTTCGTCTCCTCCTCCTCCTTCATTGCCTCAAGGGGGGACATACCAATTGCTGGGAGGAGGGTTGCTCTGAGGAGGGTTACCTCTTCGACCAGGGTTACTACCGTTACCAGACGAGGATGATCCTCCTCCATTACCATGAGCAGGGATTCTTCCTTGTCCTCAGTTGTCGTTGGTTTGTTCAACAGGTCTGGAGCTATTTTGATTGTTTCTGCTATGGAAAATATAGCTGGTCCATGACTTAGGGCTTGGTATGCACGTGTTCGATGCTGCAGGCACCCTTGCTTCACTATTGTTGAGTCCTGAATTTATTGTCTCAGGACCATTGTTGGTAGTGGTAGTCCTTTCTGAAGGAGCTCCTATGGCGAACACACTGACTCTTCCTAATCCCGGTAGTCATGAAACAGGGTGTTTCCTGGACAGCAACACCGAAATGGAGTTAGGGATGGGAAGCTCGGTTGCAAAACGGACACCTTGACCTTCACTCACAGTGGGATTTTGTGCAAGTGCAGGACCATTAGTTGGAGTGGTTGAGCTCCTAGAGGTATCAGACTTAGCTCTATTGTTATTTCGCAGTACACACGACCAATGTACTGAGAATTCCTGGGGCTTGGGTTGATCCTTATAAGCTCTGTCGTGCAAATATGCAGCAATTTTGATCAAGTCTTCTGGCATTCAATTGAAGTAGTTGGGCCTGGCTAACAGTTTTCCTACTTCCTTCCTAGCCAATCCAGTACTGTAGAGAGATCATAAAGATGATCTGGAAGACTTGTAGGAGCTGATAGACATTTTATCGGTCTCCACTCCATACATTTGCATGACAGCATTTATTTCTCAAACAAGATGTTTGGATGCCATGGTTGTACAGTATCGTAACACTCAGTAAGTAGCCAAATTTTCTGTGTGGCTTGCATGACAAGCTAGTAGTCAGAGAAAAGATAATCCTTGGTCGAGTATGAATCGATCTCGCTCCTGTTTATTGAAGAACTCAGCTATACCTGTAGGATTTGATCCACTGTTACTACTACTTGAGCTACTTGTAGCAGTCGAGTTCGTTGGACTCTGTAGTAGACTCCTTGTCCTGTATAGCATACCAAGTCATCCCTGGAGGGCTCATATGCAGTGAAGTCTTTTATCACTGAGCCTATAAATTCCCATCGACAGTCCTGAGGTGTTTTATACACCATTTCGATGGCACACCTTAAACAGTCACATTCGTACTTTTCTTGACCAGGTATTACACTGTGATATAGGATTGGAAGGGAATGCCCAGAGGCCATAGTCAAACAGTGGTATATAGCTAGATTTGGATATCTTACATAATATATTGATCTTTTGTCTTGAACCACCATCTTGCTAGCAGTCTTGCCATCCTCTTGCACTACATGTAGTGCTTTGTATATCTGTACTTCCTACAGTATGCATAATCATGTTGGGCCAGCTGAGTATCTTGTAACTGCTCATTGCTCACTCATGGGTGTTGATCCCAGATCCACCCATTCTTGCCTCCTCCTTCCCTCTTGGCTTCAGCTATGCAAGAAGTTCAGAGTGAACACTTCACATATGCCATCAATAGCTCCTAGAGGCACTAGGACATCTTCATCCACAGCAGGGTTGAAAATTCTGAACATTTGGTTAGCGGATTCAAAGATGGGTTCCACCCAAATGGGTATACCCTGTACTTCCTCAATGTCATAGAAGACTGAATGGAATGGGGAGGAATCTATGAATCCTTCTGATGTCTTCCTATGAGGCTCATCCTGTCCATGATAATTCTCATGATCATGATGATCTTCTTTTCTGTCCTGATTCGTAGATGATGTCCTGGTCTCGTCATCAGCATTCATTGGGGGTGCAGGGTTTGAAGGAGCTGCATGTTGAGACACGCTACTGTAGGTAGGTTTGCCCTTCGCCTTGTTGGTGTTGGTAGGTCTGGAGTTGCTTGCGCTTCAAGGAGCAGTGGGTGACTTCATTGCACTCCTAGAGGGCACAGGCATTCGACTCACACTTGTAGAAACAGTGGGGTTCAAGGGATTTTCAGAATGAGGTCCTATGAGCACAGGTCCTGTATTAGGTAGTGGGTTGCTACTTGTAGAGGGAACAGCGTCAGGGTCAAGTTCCTCCATCATAGCTACTCCCTTTCCTTTCTTCTTCGTCATTAACAGGGTTACTATTTCATGGCTGGTGGAGTTGTTCATATTGCACACTTTAGCTCTAGAGCTTTCATCTCCTGCAGCAGGGGCCAGTGAGTTCATTGGAGAGAGAGGTAAGGAGGTTTGCTGGCAGCCACCTGGTTTAAATGGAGGCGGCTGATGGTCTGGGTGTAGGCACTGTGGGTGCCCTTCAGGGTTCCTGGTTGCCAGGGTTGTCCTAGTAGGGAAAATCATGCAGACAAGGTCTCGATTCTCAAGGTCATTCACGTGTCTGCAGTGGGCATAGCTTATTTGGTTTGGGAGAGAGTTGAGGTTATCGTAGTTTAATGGATTTAAAACAATCTGAGTAATCGAAGATGAGGAATCACTATTCTGTCGCACCGAGTCATTACCCTTGGAAGCAGCAGGCAATTGCGCTATCGTAGGTTTGGGAACAGAGTGAGCAATGAGATGATTTGGCAAATCATCATGACATAGAGTTGTCGAGGACGAAGTATCATTGTTGATACGCTTTGCACGGGGATGAACGTGAAAGTGCGAAACACGCAAACAAGGATCAAGCGCGTCAGGGGAAAACCCTAAACACCTAACACTCACACACACACACACACACACACTATCACAATCTCGGTGCAAGAGTTCGAGGGCCTTTGGTATTAAGAAATACCACTTTTGTCTTCTTAGGTTTAAGTCTCAAGAGTTTTCGTAATAAAACCGGGTTTTATTATTGGGTGTGGTATTAGAATAGTTCAATAGAACAAAGTATGTCTTTCAGGGATCCTGGTTGCTCAAATGTAAAGTTCTCGCACACAGACTTCTTTATTGACACGAAACACGAATTTATCGGACTTTTATAACTCCCTTGAGTTTTTATTATGTCACTACGCTCCAAAACAAAGGGTACGAGTACGCTGTCTCGTCTGAATGATACTGTGCTTAAAAACCTCTTATTCAAGTCTCCAAGTAAGCTGACTCCCAAGCACGCTGGCTTCGTTCACACTGTACTTTTCTGACCACGAAGAAATCTCCTTTAATTGATTACAACTGTCCACCTCCTAAGTCTCTACTTGGAGTGCAACTAGCTGGTCAATGGGGGACGATTGCTTCCCTTTTTGACCTGCCAGTGCCCTCCTTTTATACTCCAAAACTCCTATCTACGCTTTTACATGTGTTTTTCTATGGTTTATATCGGTCCGAAATTACAAATGGAATATAAATAGCTTTTAATAATCATGTGGTATAGTTTTATAGTGTCTTTCTTTGATACACTACAGTTTTTGTAGTGTTGGTATCTTTCTCTTATGAACGCATCAGTATTTGATGCGTACATTTAATAGTCCGGCTTTTAATTATCCTTGGCCCAGACCGGTTCCTTATGCTTCTTTTCTCTTGGCATCAGTTACCAATTTGACGTATCATGTCATTTTAGCAATGGCCGGGCCGGTACATATGCAGCAAGCTGCCGGCTTCTTTATTTCTGGAGGTTATTTGATTAAAATGCCTTGGCTCGGTTTCTGTATCATATGGAGATCGGATGGTACTCTGAAGGACTTCAAATGACTTTCTTAGTTATCAGGGGGTCTCCAGATTGGATTACCTAATGTCTTTCCAGGTGCGCATTTCATAGCGTCTTGGACGATGCTACGCATCACTCTCTGATGCATACGCGGGAATTGCCGTACTTGACACTTTACATGGCCGCAGGCCACGCTTGGTCCTCATACATACACTACATGGTTGCAGTATAGTCTTTCTAGTATTAGAACATTATTTCACAATGTCCACATACAGTTTATCCTCTAGAAGTCTTGGAAGTATTTATCGCAGGATAAAAGTCCGAGTTTCCATATTAAAAATCCATTACATGTTTCTAAACCCTTGGTAGTAATGCAATCTTGTCCCTGCGTTGGGTGGTTTACTCTAGAGCTTCTCTATACTCTATTTCATAGTGGGTGAATCCTAGATAGGCTCCAAGTATAATGTCACGGCGCATACTGCTGCCAGCTCCAAAGCCTTTGTCCTATGTTCAGACTCGACGCATGTGCACTTTTAGTCTACTGAACCGGGTATGTTCATAGACTCTTTATATCATTACAACTGTATGTAGTATAGTTGCAGAGAAGACCGTTTAACAGTAAAATCGCGAAAATCGGATTTTATACGGTTGAACACGTTTCACCTGTATCATCGTCAAGCCCAGAGGAACTGTCACTCTCGAAAGCAGCAGAATTTCACACTAACAAGGTGACAGGTAAGGTCAATCCGGCTTGTACTCCTGCACTCAAGGATCGAGATGAAGTCTGCAGTGCCCCCACCATTGTGAAACTGTAGTATAGTTCTGGACTTCTTGAGGAGTCTGTGAGCGTATGGAGCAGGAGGCAGAGTTAACATGGTGATTGGGAATTAAAGTTGATGGCGTGGTTCCGCATGATGGATGAGCACCTAAGATGTCCTGTGACCCTGGATCAGGAGCATTGTTAC